TCAATACTTTGCGTGACTGTCACATTATGCTTGTGTTACAAACAGATCTCCTACACTTGTTGCGTAGAATCCCAGCCGGGGAATTACTCTCGTGCAGGGATTTCAACATATTAGGGCATTGTCAATGGATAGGAAGATAAAAATACACGTTATTCGCGGATTATTAGCTCTAAATGAGAAGTAACATAACCCTTAGTTTGCTATCAGCAAGTAACCACGTTAAGTTCAAAGCTAATTTTGAAACTCATCTAAAAAAGTGTTAAAAACTTTAAACACTAAATTTTCGGCTTTGTTGCCTTAGTTAGATTTACAAGTAGCTTGAATAAGTGTCACCACATCAGCATGTAATCAGTTGCTATTTGCCGGGCCGTAGCTAGTAATATGCAAATCTCAGTCCGTTTTTGTTGTTTATGGTCATCATAAACACCCTAAAATCCTAAGAAAAAAAATTAAACCATGGACATTGCCTAAGTCCTATAAGTCAATAAGGAATATAATCAAGTTCATAAGGAATGGAATTGAGCCCGGGCCGGCGAGCGCTCTCAACACTGCGTCATCCCTGCTCTCCAATATAAATGTTGGATGTTATTGATAAAAAAAACTAGAGGAAAAGAAGGATTGTAATATTTTTATTAATACGATATAAGAACTGCATAACATGGAAGCTTCTGTAAACGCATATTTTACGTATTACCAGTAAGAATTATGTTCAGATTGATAAGATACAGCCTTATTGTCATTCGGAGAGCTTCAGAACCACCTTAAATTCGAAAAGTTAAGATGGCACTGAACCACCTCTATAGAATGTTTCAAACTTCGTTTGATGATTGATGATGACGATTGCCTTATGACTGATTGCTGACTGACACACTCAAAGAAGGAAACAAGGCAACTTACCTGCGCTGCCGTTACCACAATAACGAAGATCGCAAGAAGGCGGCTTTGGTAACTCATACAAAAAGAAAGCTCCACAGTTCCTGACTCTAATATTGTTACTCCAGAGACAGCAGTTGCTTGACCAGTAATAGCTATAATAATGATAACAGACTTTACGAGTGACCACACCTTCAGCGACGGTCGGGTGTGAGCCACTAAGCCAACCTGAAGCAGCAGTGCCGCAGTGATTTACGGGAACACATTTGTCCGCCATCCGATATCCGGCAGCTCCTTGGAAGCGATACCAACCTGGTACCAGGTCATACCTGTCGCATCTATAATTGCTGTTGATCACTATGTGTCCTTGAGCGCGGTCTGCTTCACTCAGGACTGTGTAATTGTTACATCCATCCACTGTAAGTAAGGACACATCAGTTAACTACAGTAACGACAAAACTGCATTTTTTCAACAGAACGGTAGTGAGAAATACCAAAAACAAAACGAGTCATGTGTGAAAACGACAAAAACGCTCATCTTGGATTGCTGACATTGTTCAATACGTTTTCTTGAGTACCGTCTGCTTCATTCAGATTTGTGTAATTTTTACACCCAGTTTACACAGCCAGCCTCGCACGAGGTAACGGGCAGGGATTGGTGCTCTTGGAAGTAAGTGACGCACTACGAAGAAATGTTACAATATCGAATTTCCATTGCGCGTTTTAAGGCTTTGAAAGAAATTTAATTTACCCAAATAAACATGTAAATTAACTTATAAATGTTTCGCTCGTATAGGATCGGGCCTCTCTACCACACGATACACTCTAGGCTGGAATTATGACTTTATCGAAAGAAATCTTGCAGGAAATGAACTCTAACAAGAGCCATAATCGGGGACGGAGACCGTAAGCGCGCGCCATTTCTAGTATTGGAGCTGTCCCTATGATATGGGACAATTTTTCTATTTTTAGAACAAATTGCGCCATCGTGTGCGGGACACGCGCGTGTATTCTGCGAGGATTTTGCGGATGTAGCGCGGGGAAATGGTGTCTGATATTCTCGAAATGTTTGATGCTTTTGGCCCACAAATCAATACGTTCATGTCTGTTGGAATTTTGCTTCAGTACTTTCGTCGTAAGCTGCTCCAGTTTGAGTGAAGTAAGACAGTGTCGAATTTAGTTATGTCACGCTTTACATCACTGACCAAGTTGTGTTCCGTTGCCTCTTTTACAAGAGCTCGAAATCACTCCACCCTAAGTTTCACATATGTTGAAGATTAACAGCTTTTCCTTAACAAAGCAAAAAACAAGTTGATATGTTTGGATATAGCAGCGTTTCAGGACTTCAAAGTTTCCCTCCTCTTGCCACACGCTTACGACGATTTCGTAATAATAATTGCAAGTTTGAGTTTCGCCTGAATTGTAAGTAACGTTGATGTTTTATGAAAGCGCAATAAGTTACAATAAAGTTTATGTCTGTAGATGCTACTCAGTTTTGTTTGTGTAAAAATCCAATAAATTGTCTGTTGTCGATGAATAAGAGCGCCCGCCGATGCGTGTTTTGTACAGTCAGTAAAACATGACAAATTGGANTAAGGTTGATAAATGTTTGAGAACATATTAAAAACTTAGCTGAAAATATGTGAATACAGCAGAAATAATCGGCAAAATTACGATGACGCTTTCTTTAATGAACTCGAATAACGATTTCGATTTTGTTGGTTGAGTTATCAAAACTCCTTGTCTATTTTATTTTCGCACTGTAAAATTTCACTGTTAAAGAAACACACATGATGATAGTAGCCTTTTGGCATTGGTGAAAATTGTTGCAGCATCTCGGCATAAAAGACAACGAAAGAAATCCTTGTCAACATTTGTTGACAATTGAAAACACCAACTCGGATTTGAAAGTGCACGCGCTGCACTATGCAAATGAGCTATTTAATGTACGCGTCAGACTTTCCTTTCAAAAACTTTTGCAAACTCGCCAAACAAACAGAAACAATAAGAAACTATCAAAAACAGGGTTTGGTTATATTTAAGCATTGTTTGGGAAACTCACAAATTAACTCGATACCAGAGTAAAGAGCTTTCTTGAATAACTTTTCTTTACAGAACAACCGCAAAAGCTTACGCGTACAATTAGCGCGAGCAGATATTATTCATTCACAGAGCGAAATTGAGGACTTGTTTTCGACCCTGAAAAACTCACCTTTTCCATTAGCTCTGAGCATAAAACTACATATAAGCGCCCTGGTTCGTATTCCCTGCCTTATTCCCTGCCATCGCTGTAAAAAATCTGCAAGAGAATCTCGCAACGCTCACCCTTTGATCACGCAACGTGACAACATCCACGCGAGAGCCCCCGACATGTGCGCGGATCCGCGCAGATAAATGACGTCAGGATGGCGCAATTTGTTCTAAGAATAGAAAAATTGTCCCATATCATAGGTGTGCGCGGATCCCGAGACTTATGGCAGGGCGCTTATACGTAGGGCGGTGAAACGAGCGGGTCCGAGCAAAAAGGTGTGATGCAATAGACTGGGGTCTACTAAAACGAGCAGATTCCGCATAATACACTGGAACTTAGATTTCTAAGGAAATTCCACGAAACTCCTTTCTATATGAAGAGGGAAGGCCTTTGGTGCATTTTTGTTCTGAAGCAACGGGAAAAGGTGAGTTTTCGCGCTGTAAGATCTGCTCGCGCTAGTTGTACGCGTAATCTCTTGCATTTCTTCTGACTTACGAATAAACGTTATGAAACTCATTACTCTGGTATCGCCGGTTAATTTGTGCGTTTCTCAGGACAATCAGAATAATGATTAATCATAAATAAAATCCGTTTCTGATTAGTTTCTCATTGTTTCTGCTTGTTTGGCGAGCAGGAAAGTCTGACGCGTAGAAGTTGCTAATTTGCATATTGTAGGGGATGCACTTTCAAGTTCGAGTCTGTGTTTTTAATTTCTCAACATAAAATCTTGTCAAAGTATTTTTTTTCGCCATCTTTTGTGCTGAGATGATGCGATAATTTTTGCCAACGCTAAAAGGCTACTAAGATCACAGTTTCTTCGTCATAGTGAAATTTTATACTGCGAAAATGAAGAAGTCAAGGAGTTTTGAGAACTGAAACAACAAAATGAAATTGTTATTCGGGTTGATTGAAAAGTGCTACCGTAATTTTGCTGATTTAATATCTCTGCTGTCCTTCCACATATCCAGCTAAACTTCTAACATGTTCTCAAATATTTATCAAATCAGTCTTAAACATTTATAAAGCTAGAGATATTGCTTGAGTTCGATGTACGTTTTACACGAAAGAGCGTAATTGAAGTCAATTTGTCATGTTTAGCTACAAAACACGGATCGCTGGGCGCTCCTTTTCATCGACAACCAGCGATTAATTGGATTTTTACACAAACAAAACTGAACAGTATTTACAGACGAAAGTTCTTATGCCTTGATGAGGTATCACGTGTTGCTTGCAATTCAGACGAAACTCAAACAAGCAAAATTTTATTACTTTAAATTTTTGTTCGCGATAGACTCTATGGCGAAATCCTTGCAAGCGTGTGGCAAGAGGAGCGAAGCTTTGAAGTTCTGAAACACTGCTATATCCAAATATATCCAGCTGGTTTTTTACTATGTTATGTAAAAGCTATCGATCTTCAACATATGTAAAATTTAGAGTGGAGTAATGTGGAGTACTTGTAAAAGAAGCAGCGGATCACGGTTTGGTCATGATAAGCGGGACATACCTGCATTCGACACTGTCTTACTTCATTCAAATTTGGGTAGCCTACGACGAAACTACTTAAGCATCATTACAACAGACATAAACGTATTGACTTTTGTGTCTAAAGCATCAAAAAGGCTTTTGAAAATACACCACTGGTGGCTCAAAAATAAAGAAAGAAAAGTTAATTTCCGGTTCGTCGAGAGGAGATTTTTGGCAGCCATTAATCTAGGGCGCTTATATGTAGGGCGGTGAAACGAGCGGGTCCGATCAAAAAGGTGTGATGCAGTAGACTGAGGTCTACTAAAACGAGCAGATTCCGCTTGCTTACACTGGAACTTAGATTTCTAAAGAAATTCCACGAAACTCCCTTCTATATGAAGAAGGGAGGTTTTTGGCGCATTTTTGTTCTGAGGCAATGGGAGAAGGTGAGTTTTTCAGGTTGCCGGAAAACAGGACTTCATATTTCGCGCTTTAAGATCTGCTCGCGCTAGTTGAACGCGTAATCTTTTGCATTTCTTCTGACTTACGAATAAACGTTATGAAACTCTTTACTCTGGTATCCCCGGTTAATTTATACGTTTCTCAGAACAAACAGAATAATGCTTAATCACAACCAAAATCTGTTTTCGATCACTTTCTCATTGTTTCTGCTTGTTTGGCGAGCAGGAAAGTCTGACGTGTACAAGTAGCCAATTTGCATAATGTAGCGCGTGCACTTTCAAGTCCGAGTCGGTGTTTTTTTAATTTCTCAATATAAAATTTTGCCAAAGTACTTTTTTCCCCATCTTTTGTGCTGAGATGATGCGATAGCGATAATTTTTGCCAACGCTAAAAGGCTACTAAGATCACAGTTTCTTCATAGTGAAATTTTATACTGCGAAAATGAAGAAGACAAGGAGTTTTGAGAAGTCAAACAACAAAATGAAATTGTTAATCGGGTTGATTGA